ACTCTCAAGGGTAAAAATAAATGTAGGGGATTACCCAAAAGGGGAAGTTTTTCTTCTTTTTCTGGGTCGTGGAGTGGAGCAGGCGATAAAGGAAGAGCATCTCGGGGCTTGAACCCTGGTGTTGAGTTTGGCTAACCCTTAACTTTTCCATTGCACTAATGACCCTTGCTCAAGAAAAGTTGAGTTCTGTTCTCTTTTCCATCTTTTCAAATGCTATCTAGTAAGATCTAGTTTGGTCAGGCTATTTTAGTTTGGAAAAATTCGATTCATTTTCAATTTATTAGGGATTTTTTTAATTATTTTTCTTTTAGGGTACTTGTTTTGTGGAACTTGAAAATCAAAAAAAAAAAAATGTTTGATTAAATTTTGAAAAGATTCAAAATAAGTTGAAAGTAAGCCATTTTTTAATACTAAAATAAAATGAATATGCTAGTAGAACTCATCTTTGGTCTCTAACCAAAATAAAAGAGTAGGTTCTAATTGGCTTAGTTTTATAAATTATTTAAAAAATAATAATAATTTGGTGAAAGTAAATACTAAAAAGATATTTTTGAATTTTAAAAAATTATTTTTGCACAAATTTAAAAATTAAAAAAAAAACAATATGAAATAATGAGAGATTTTTTAATTTTTATTATTATTTTATCAATTTAATTTTTAGTATTAAAAAAAAAAAAGATTTTGAAAACAAAACGAATCAGACTTCAATTTGAAACAGAAAGAAGATCAGATAGTAGTTGTGGAATCATATTTGGATTTCCATGGGGATCCTGTTGTGTGTTCTCATGGAGACTCATTCCGAATCTTTTATAATTAGTTCATATTATAAGATTTGTTGGCCATATTATTTATATAAAAAATTAAATTAATTAGATATTCGTAAGTCCATGATCGAGCTCTAATTGTTTTTTAAAAATTATAAAAATAATGTTAATCATTTATTTTTTAAAAAACAAATGTTCTCTTATTATAAGGCTTCTTATGTCCAATTGATTTTTTGAATAGATGTACTCGATAAATTTTATAATATGAGCAATTCGAATTATCAACAAAATCTCGAAACACATATCCATCAAATCACACAGCACTATGTTGTGCCATATAGGCACAACATGCAACCCTTGTCCGAGATAGGGTAAAGATGACCTTTCCTTCCTATCTCTTCCTTAGTCTTCTTTGTCCTATGATCTAACCGAATTCTATGACGGCATTGTTAACCCCTTATATAGAGAAAAATAAAATAAAATAAAAAAGATAAGAACAAAATGAGATAAAAGAAACTAAACTTATTTCTTGTTTTGTTTGGTTATATTGAAAAAAAATAAAAATAAATTGTTAAAAATCACACTCATTGATGTTTGACGAAAAATACACGAACATGCCTTTACATTTGACAAAAAGATTACAAGCATTCCTTGACATTTGGGTATAATTTAACTTCATATATATTTATTTAAATTTCATTTTCATAGCACAATATGGTTAAAATTATTCTCCTGCATTGCATATATTGTAATATTTTGTTAAATATTTGGAAATATAGGCATACACATAAATAAACTAATTTAAATTATCACATATATTCATTTAACTTATAATTTCATAGGACAATAGAGTGAAAATTATTCTTCTACATTGCAAACGTTGCAAAATATTTGTAAAACAATTATATATATATGGACATATAAAAATACACATAAATAATTTAATTAATAATATTGCAATCACATATATTTATTTAAGTTAAGGGGGGTGGCTGTAGATCTTTTCACCAAATATTAAGGGGTGCGTACGTATTTTTTGCTCAATGTCAAGATGTTTTGCTAAATGTCAAGACGTCTCTTTGATATATAGGCCTCGTTTGGGAAGTTGCTATTTTAGTAGGCTATTTGATTTTTTGGTTATTTTAGTAGGCTATTTTAGTTTTTGTGTTTGGGAAGATGAGATGAATTTTATTTGAGTTGTTGTATTAAAAAATGTGTTGAAATGATGTTTGAAATTAAAATGACAAATTGTCCCTAAAAAATATTTTTTTTAAATTGGTATGAAGGGGTAAAATCGTAAAATGTTCATTGATGGAACATTTTCTCTAGCTGACAGTGTAGGTGCCTACACTGCCGGCTGTGCAGTCCTTTTTTTTTTTTTCTTTTTTTTTTTATGAAAAGCTTGCAAAAGTGGCTTTTGGCTAAAAAAATTTTTAGGCTATAATAGCCTCTTAGGCACTTCCAAACGCGCCATAAAAATGTCAACAGATATTGTGTATTTTTATCAATGGATTTCTGAATAAGTTGTTATTTTTTACTAATTGTTGAAAAAGAATTAATAATAAAAATTTCTTTTTATTGCTTTTTCCTTGAAAAATTCTAGATTTCCAAAAAAAAAAAAATTTTAAAAAATCCTAGAACCATATTTTATGTAGTGTTTATTACCAAAATAAATGTATTTACTAGTAAATTATTGTCTTGGTCAACCAAAAGTGGCTAGGAAAGAATTGACTCTC